AATGTCCAAAATGCTAGTTGAAGATTTTGCTGATGTTGTGTTGAGGATTTCAGACAGTGTGTGTGAGATTGCAGTGAGCCACAATGATGTTCTTGCGAATTGCAATAATGGTCCAATCAAGTTAGTTTTGGTGGTTATACGTCAAGGCACAAGAAATTATAAATATGACATTCCTCTATGGCTTATAAAAGCCAAAGAAATGGTTAAATGTCGAGGTGTTGTTGGTCCTTGTCCTGCCAAAAGTGGAAGAACAATGCATTTTATGGTTCCTAGTTACTGTGAGTGCATTTCAATGGCCTTCACCTCTGTGACAGATATTAAAAAGAGACTAGTTGATATCATCTATGAGAATTTGAGACATCCTAATCAGCAGACACATGGAGCTGTTGCAGCCTTGAGAAGCTTCATGAATGCTTACCTTGTAGCTGGGGAAGGTAAAGATTTCCATGCCATTGTTTCTACTTTGGCTGCTAGACAAAAATCTGCACCTTCTTTTGGTATTATGCACCAAATAAATTGGGTTAATGATCAGATTATTCCATGGAACTTTCCTTTTTTGCAACCTACTTTTAGAAGGTTGGGAAAATGTGGATGGAATATTGGCAACAATCGGTTATGGCTGTTGACAAAAGGTCATAATGATATTGTGGCTTCACTCAAAGAGAAGAAATATAGTTGCCTAGTTGACTGGAGAAGTAGATTGGGGCAGCTAAAGCATAATCTAAAATGGATAAATAGTTTGTGCAATACTATTAATGTGAATAGGGATCAAACTCAGTTGGTAAGTATATTACTTGGAGGTAATATTGCATCAGATTTCTTACTTCAAATTCTGTATGGTCTTGCAATGAAGATGATACTGTGGTTTAAAGATGGACAACTACAACCTGACAGCATTTTGACTATTGCAATTTCAGTTTTCAATGTTGTCTTTTTTACATGGTTCATTCTGCATGTCCTTGGAGGTGAGGTGCAACAAAAGTTACTAATGATGAAGAAGATGTATGATCTGCCAACTGGATTAACTTTTACAATTCTTGGTGAAAATGATGTTGCAGATACTATACACAAGTCATCCATTATCTTGGTAGTTGGCAGGGCATCAGAAAAACAGGATAGAGATGTAAGGAAAAGACTCAATGTAGTTACTTTGTTGGTCCTTAAAGGTGGTGATCGAAAGCTTACTGATATTGGATTGAAAAATATTTCCCATGAGCTTGTCTTCTCCTTGCAGTATGACTTTGTTAAGCATGAGTTTTGGAAGACATTCACTATACCCTGCATGTTCTAACCTTGAGGACAAGGTTTATTTTAAGGGGGAAGGAATGTTGCAAGTTGAACCAAGGGAGTTCATAAGTGGCATATTTACATAGTTTGCATCCTTTACATTTTAGTCCCAATTTTCTATTCCTATTTCTTTAAGACCCTAAGTTAGTTTATTAGGGTAGTATTGTCATTTCTATTTGTCTAGGGTTCAGTTTTGCATTGTATAAATACCTTGTATGTACTCATTTGGAAGATATGAATGAAATTATCCTTAGCTTAACTTAGCCTAGTTTTTACTTTAACTTAGTTTGTAGCTTGTTTCCTTCTCGACTTCCATTCTTGCATCAGTCCACGTCTAAAGAACATTACTAGAAGAACACCCCAATCAGTCTCCAGAACTCTCAAGGTTCCAGATTTAAATCCTCAAACCACCACTACCTTGCTCTGAGGTTAAAAGAATTATATAAACCTACCACTCAACAAACATAACCCACAAAACTACAGATATCTCTTTAAGATAAATAGAGATATATAAAAATCTACAAGTTTTAGTATAAAATTCAGATTCCCATCCTCTGGATTTTGCGGAATCAGATAAAAGAGCTACAGAGAAGTTCTTATCAACCAGCCTTGTCAAAAAAAAAATGAAAAAACGAAGAACACAAGCCCGCACCTTTTGATTGAGATAATCAACATTGAGGGCAAGATCAGAGAGCTGAATGATACCGGCCCTGGCTTGCACATCGAGCTGATCGAGATCAATATCGCCAAGTATAAATTTCCCCAATTTCTTCTTCAACCAGAACTTGCAAAACCTCTTGATTGCCCAGCGCGAGAACAACTTCTCCGCAGACCTCGCGAACTTCCACATTCTACCAAATTTCGCACTTCAATTCAATTAACAAAACCAGAAAATTAGGGTTTAGGTTTCCAATTAACAGAATCTGCATGCGATGGAGAGTTTTCACCTCCATCCAAGTTTAGGAATCAAATTGGGATCAAAATTGGGGTTTAAAGCATGCAGTCAAAAGGGATGATGAAAGACGACCTGCAAGAGTCGTGTTAAGCTATAATTTCGTCTGTGTTTTTGCCCTTCAAATATTTTAATTATCTATTTTTTGTTGTTTTCTTGTTTAATGGAAATACTAATCGATTAATTAGACATGCTAATGATCATATGTGCCTGATGCTTATGATTAGGTACCTTGGCCTTTGTCTTGAAGATTTGTTTAAGTTGATTCCCCAGTATCCACGCAAGTGGGCAAATTGCTTTATTCTATTGATTCTTATATATATAAAAAAAATATAAAAAAATAACCGGAAAAACTGTAGCGAGCAAAAGTCGGACCCTTATTATTACCGAGTGTTATAGAACAATCATTGTTCTAAACTTCTAATTCTAAAAGGAAACCTAAATAGTTAAACGGACCAAGAAAATAGAATGAGGTCTTTCTTGATAATTTTCAAATTTGATTATAGTTGGGATTTTATTATCAATTTAAAGATATAATTTAGATATTTATTATTTATATCAATAATTTGGATATTAAGTATAAAAAATATATATATAAATTGAAGTGTGAGACAACTGTATACGTTGTATTCATACATGCATTTAGATTGTATCTCGATATAATTAGCATGTATACAAAAATGCAAACAACAGAAAATACATGTATTGTATTTGTTTACTCTAATTTCACCTATATCTTTTCGCTCTTGTATTGTTTTTATTCCTTAATTCTAATTTCACTTGTATTCATGCGAATATTTAAATTATAAGATAATAAAAAGTACAAATAACTGTATTCTAATTTCACTCGTAATTATTTACTCTTATATTCATTCACCAAAATACATAAATACAATAAAGGGGGGGGGGGGGGGG